CCAATAAACACATGGCATTTCTAGTGTGTTTTATAGTCTATTATGGGTTACAAGTGCTTGGCCAGGGAGGTGAAGGCCTGAGAAATTAAAGCTGAAGATCACCTCTAACAGCTAAGATGCTACCTTAAGGACCCAATAGGCTAAGACAATAGTTCTCAATCTTCCTAAGGCCAAGGCCCTTTAATACAGTTCCTGTGGGTTGCAAGCAACAGGTTGAGAACCGTAGGGCTAAGGGCCCTGAGGTGGCCAACTGAACATGTTATCACAGCCTGCCCAGCCAGAAGACCAGGAAGTGCTTTTTCTGTCTGCTCCAGCCTCATCCAATGGGTAGATTGTCTAGACTTGGGGTGGGGACAGCACATGCCCACAACCTTTGGGTTAGCCTCACAAAACCAATAGACTCAAAACTTCTACCTCTGTGGATTTTGTTTTTCCAAGCATACATTCATGGATGCCAGAATGGAAGCCAAACTATTTGAACCTCTATTAACTTAGCATCCATACTGAGATATAATTTATAACACAATATTTGTCAATTATAAGATAGCACAATTTCATGATTTTAGGAAATTTATAGAGCTGTGTAATCACCACCACAATCCAATTTTAGGACACTTGCATTGTCTAGAAATGTTCCCTGTGCCTATGTGCTATTGCTCCCACCCACCCCTACCCCTGCCCTAAGGAAACACTGATCACCTTCCATCTCTATAATAAATTTGCTTTTGTTGAGGGAGGGGACACGCCCTCCAAGTGGAATTATATGACATACAATCACTGGGTCTGCTGATTTCCCTTTGGCATGAGGTTCATCTGTGTTGCAACATCTATCTGCAGTTTGTTCTTTGTAATGCTGAGTGGTAACCCACTGTGTAAATGTAGAACATTTGTCTTATCCACAGATATTTGGGTTGTTTTCACTTTGAGGCCATTATAAAATCATGCCTCTGTGGATACCCATCTACCTGTCTTTGTGTGAAATGTATGTTTTCATTTCTCTTGGGTAGAATGTTGCATCATATGATTTGCATCCGTTTATGCCATTTAACATACCTACAAGCAATGAATGAGGAGTTCTTGTTTCTATATACCCTCGCCAACACTTATTATTGTCTTTTTAAATTATGGCTATCCTTGAGTCTTGTTTTATAGCCTAGCAAATGGTCTACCCTGGAGGATGTTCCATTAGCACTTGAGATGTATTCTGAATTCATCAGATACAGTGCTCTAGAAATGTCAGGCATACCAACTGAGTTGATAATGCTCTCTCTTCAAGTCCTCTATAAGTTTGCTGCTCTAACAATCACTGAGAGTGAGGTAACTATAATTAATGATGCATTTTCTTTTTATTTTTTGAGACAGTGTCTCACTATGTCACCCTTGGTATGCCATGGCATCACAGAGCACAGCAATCTCAAACTCTTGGGCTTAAGCAATTCTCTGGCCTCAGCCTCCTAAGTAGCTGGGACTACAGGTGCCCGCCACAACGCCCAGCTATTTTTTGGCTGTAGTTGTCATTGTTGTTTAACAGGCCTGGGGCAGGTTCGAACCCACCAGCCCCAGTGTAGGTGGCCAGCACCCTAACCACTGAGCTACGGGCACCAAGCCTAATGATGCATTTCCATGATGAGTCTTATCAGTTTATGTCTCAACAATTTTGGGGCTCTGCACATGTTTTTTTACTATTATGTCTTCCTAACATAGGATTCACTATGAAATGTTCCTCTTTGGTGCTAGTAATATTTTTTATCTTACAATCTATGCTATCTTTTTTTGTTTTTTGAGACAGAATTTCACTTTCATTGCCTTCAGTGGAATGCCATGGCATCATACCTCACAACAATCTCAAATCCCTCAACTCTAGCAATTCTCTTGCCTCAGCCTCCCAAGAAGCTGGGACTACAAGCAACTACCATAACACCTAGCTATTTTTAGAGATGAGGTCTTGCTCCGGCTCAGGCTGGTCTCAAACTCATGAACTCAAGCAATCTGCCTGCGTTGGCCCCCTGCTCGGATCACAGGCGTGAGCCACCACACCTAGCCAAGTGTATACTATTTATACTAATATAGTCACTCCAGCTCTCTAATGGCCACTTAACAATATTATCTTTTTCCATCTTTTTATATTTGTACTTGAATCTAAGGGATGTCACTTCTAGACAACATATAAGCTGGACTTTGCTTTTTAAAAAAAATACAGTCTGGGCGGCACCTATGGCTCAATGGGTAGGGCACCAGCCCCATATGCCAAGGGTTGTGGGTTCAAACCTGACCCCAGCCAAACTGCAACAAAAAACAGTCGGGTGTCGTGGCAGGTGCCTATAGTCCCTGTAGTCCCAGCTACTCGGAAGGCTGAGGCAAGAGAATTGCTTAAGCCCAGGAGTTGGAGGTTGCTGTGAGCTGTAATGCCAAGCACTCTACCGAGGGCAACAAAATGAGACTCTGTCTCTAAAAAAATAATAAACAAATAAATAAAAATAAAAAAATACAGTCTGGCTCAGCACCTGTAGTACAGTGGTTTCGGCACCAGCCACATACACGGAGGCTGGCAGGTTCAAACCCAGCTTCAGCCAGCTAAACAACAATGACAACTGCAACAACAATAAAAAACAGCCAGGTGTTGTGGTGGGTGCCTATAGTCCCAGCTACTTGGAAGGCTGAGGCAAGAGAATCGCTTAAGCCCAAGAGTTTGAGGTTGCTGTGAGCTGTGACACTACAGCACACTACCGAGGGTGACACAAAGAGACTCTGTTTTTAAAAAAAAAAAAAGTCTGACAATCCCTGTCTTTTCACTAGGGTATTTAGACCATTCACATTTACTGTAATTATTGATATGGCCGAATTTACACTGCCACATTGCTGCTTATTTTCTACATCTTCTTTTGTTTCTCTGTTCCTTACTGTCTTTTGTCTCCTATGATTTAGTGTACCACTTTAGTTATTCTAATCTCTGTTGATTCTTTTTAATGGTATTTTAATTCTATTTCCTAGTTCCTCTAAGTATTAAAACAAGTATATTAATCACAATCTACTTCAGATTAATATTAACTTGATTCCAGTAAAATATAGAACTTTGGTCCAATATTGCTCCATTTCATTCCCCCTCTTTGGTACTGTTATCACCCATATTCTATGTATGTTATAAATCCAGCTGATCACCAAATGCCTTCAGTCAGTTTCTGGAGTGTAGACATAGTTAAGTCCATTCTATAAACCCACATTTACCATTTCCAGTGTTCTTTATTTCTTCCTGTAGACTTACCTGGCGGGTCTGAACCCAGCCTGGGCTGGATAAACAACGACAACTGCAACAAAAAAATAGCTGGGCGTTGTGGAGGGCACCTGTAGTCCCAGCTACTTGGGAGACTGAGGCAAGAGAATCCCTTAAGCCCAAGAGTTTGAGGTTGCTGTGAGCTGTGACATCACAGCACTCTACCAAAGGTGACATAGCAAGACTGTCTCAAGGAGAAGAGAAAAAAAAAAATCAACATGGGAACTCCAGGAGACACTAGTTATAAATGTAACATCTTGTGTTGAGTAAAAGCTAAAGACTGAAGGGGTAGCTGTCACCAACATCACATCAGTTGCTTCCCTCACTATACACTGAGCACTGAAGCTGGTTTTGGGTACAAGCTACCTGGCATCCCATCAACCTACAAGGCAGAAATAATTGCCTATTTAGTGAGTAAAGAAATACAGGCTAAGATTATATGCTCAGGATAAATCAGGTTGTGTGATCTGACCGCAACTCTGGCTGCTGGCCTTTGAGCTAGGCTCTGTCTACATCCTCATCCTGCTTCACAATGTCCTAGGACCCCCTAGGGTGTCTCTAATGCTCTAGAAAGACTCATATACGTGCCCCCCCCCCCACAACTGCCTGGTTTAATCTCTGTCCCTTGCTCTCATAATGCATTACAAGGAAAGCACATTGATCAATTTCAGGAAACAATGCCCCATCTTCTACATGACCTCAGTTTAGAGGCCAATGAATGGCCCAGTAGGGAAAAGGAACGAGACCCAGAGGATAACGAAGCCATGAGCTTTGGCAACTGAAAGATCTGGTTTGAGTCCCAACTCTAAGCTCCTTCAACACTTAACCTTTCCCTCACAATTCACTGGCCTACCCTATAGGAGGAGCATCATGACTACAGGAGAGCACACACATTGGGAGCCTAGGAAGGCAAAAGGGACCCAGAAAATCTCTTTGAATGTGGGCTCCTCCTGCCCTGACTCCAAGCCCTCTCCTGGCTGCTCACCAGCCTCTCAACTTCATTTGAAGTGTCACAGATTCTTGTCCCAGCTGAAGATTGAGTCAAAGAGAGGGAAAAGAGACCTACACTTATAGTTTTTATTTTGAAACTTTAATAAGAGATCACTGGCTTTGGAACAGGTACTGTAGTCAGCAGGGTCAGTGGGTATCTAGGTATGAACATGCTGGAAAGCTCCAAGGAAGGAGTGATACAGAGTCTGAATTTCTCTTGAGAGAGAAAAAAGAAGGCTTGTAAGTGAAGAAATGGTAAATTTGGTGTTATGCCTTTTAAGCTTTTCCTTTAAGAGCCTTACAAAAGGTGAGTTTCAGAAAAGTCACTCTTAAAGCAATCAGTGTTGATTAAGGAGAAACCAATAGAACAGGCCACGGAAGATCCAAGCTTAGTGAATGCATGCCCCCACCTCCAAGGAGCAATGTGCCCTGGGCAGGGCTCCCAACTCTGTTCCTAACCAAGTCATCCCGGTAGGGTGCAAAATCTCTTGCGTCCCTACCCACACCTCTGAGACCCAGGGTCCCAGGAGGGAGGTCCCTTGGCAACGTTTTGGCAACGATAGCACAGTTGCTGGTGCAGGCAATGCTTGGGCTGTACCTGCAGCCATCTCCATGATAACCCCACCAAAGCTGCTTCCTACGCACAGGCCTGCCCTGGTCTAGAGTGGGGCTTGCCCCACCTAGGCACTCTAGGCTTGTCTCCAGGTCCCAGTGCCTCCCACTGGTTCCTCCCACTTACCTATGTGAGGTGCGCATATCCACAGGCCCATCACCCACCAGTCCTTCACTTCTGCCCATAGCCTCTGTTGCCCTCTGCAATCCTTGGGCTGGGCCTGCTCCTGGCTCAGGTATCACCCTCATGTCTCCGTCAGGGTTTAAATCTGAAGCCAACAATCCTCTCTCCATTTTTATTTTCTTGCTCTCCACATCATCGTCTGTTGGGTCTCTTTCAAGTGCTCGTTTCTGACTCCGTGTTCGGCATGCTTCTTCCGTCATTCTGAACTTTATGGGGAGGAGAAGACACATTTTAATTGGGCAGTTAAGTTGTTGCCTTCTTCGAAACTTTTTAGAGTGTTTTTCTCCACATGTTAAGGATGGCAGAAGTAGGTACAATAAGCACAGGGCCCTCAAAAGTGTCCCCAGGACATTTCTTCACTGCCTTGGGGAAGGCTCCACAGGAGCAGGGTGTCCCTGGCCTCCAGTGTGGCAGAGCATCTGGGGAACTGAGCTCTGTCCTGCCCCATGAGGGGACAGAGAACCTGTGGCGGATTGAACAGAAACAATGGGAGGTGGCTGCTTATCAAAAAGAAAATGAAATTCTGTGCACTCCAGATCTAAAAGCAAACAGAGAGAAACTGTTTTAGATCTGAGCTACTTGCCTAGGGGATTCTGAGTACCTGCATCTAGAATCCGGGAAGGGGGTGACTATACTGTCCTAAAAGCAGGGTCAGGGCCCCAGTCCAGCCCTATCCTATGGTGACCCCTGCTTCTCCCCTTCAGTGATGTTCCCTCATTCTCTGCTCACCTTCAAGGATTGGGGTGTGTGTGTGTGTGTGTGTGTGTGTGTGTGTCTGTGTCCCACATTTAACCCTTTGGTTGCCAATGAGGTACATTTTGAGCAGGGTGAGGCCTGACCTATCAACATGCCATCACCTTGTACCTGCAGCACACACCTATCTTGATTTGAAGAAGAAAGAAAAAGAAGAAAAAACAGCTGAGTCAGTTTTTGATCCCATGACATCACTGGGCTCCACATGACCCTTCCCAGGATTCAGCTGGAGAGACAAAGCACTTTCCAGAAAACCAGTCTGAACCGGTTCCAGACAACAAGCTGAAGTGTTGTTAACCCTCACAGAGACAGGACATGGGAGGACAGCACAGTGATATCTGTCTGCAGGGAGGCGGTTAGCATTCCACAGCAGGGTTTGGGACACAGGCACTCTTAAAGCGGCCACTCTGATCTCTGGCCTCCCCAGTAGGGCAAGGCACAGAATCAACACTGAGAGTTGGAGTCTTAAAAAATATATATAAATATATCCCCAGTGCTCACCAGGGGATAAAGAAGAAATTTAGTGCTTCAGCTCTCATATAATTCCTAAAATGTCATAGTTTTCCACAGGACAGTTGGTGTCCTTCATGCAGGAGACTCAAAGAGAACCCTGACTCACACCTGTAGCATGCCTTCCTCTATTCTAAAGCCCTCTGGTTCTGTGTCCTCGCAGGCAGGGCACCCATCTTCCCAGTACCTCAGTTTGCCCACTGGTGAACACCCTGGGGAGGCCTGTACTGGACAGGGCTGGGCATACCCAGTCCCAGAGGCCATCTTCTGGGACGCTGGAGAGGTGAGGGGGGACAGCACAAGGCAATGAAGGTGTTCTGTCACCATATTATGGGATGCTCTTGAGCTGATGCACTTGCAATCTCTTTAAAGGAGCTGATTTCACAAATGAGCAATAGGACAAGGCCCTGCCCAAATGTGCCCTTTCGTGTACTTAGACTGAAAGGAAGGAAAGTGACAGCTGCTTCATGCTTCTGAAGCCTGGGGGAGGAATAGGCCATTTATACACATGTTGGGCCAGTGTGGCCTAGCAAGGCACATAGTTACCTGCTCTAAAAGGAGGCCCACCCCAAAAGGCTGAACTAAACACATTTCCCAATAGCCACATCCTCCCCTGAGGTATCCCCCCTAGATCCATGGCAACTCTGCGCCCCTTGCCCCACCCCTGAGGGAAGGGCCAGAGAATGTCTCTCTCCCTTAGCACCACCCAGGTGCCAAAGTTTGCTCCTAATGTGGTGACCAGGCTGGGGGTAAAAAGGTCAAGAAAGGAAACCCCAAATCTCTATGTCACTGGCTTTCAGACTTAGCCTCTGCCTATTCCCTAAGCCCTTCTGGAATCCCTGCCTACACTACCACTCACTCCATAACAGCTGTTCAACCCCTGGCTGCCTCTCAGCCTGCCTGCCCAATGTACCCCAATCCTTCCACTCTCACCTAGTTTCCCTTCCAGCTGCTCCTCTCTGAGCAACTACTCCACCTCCCTGTGCTCCTCACTGCCCCCAGAGAGAGGTGAGGAATGCTCTGACCTCACTCTTAAGCCCTGAAGTTCTATGGTCTCTGTCCTGTTTTCGATATTAGTTGACCACAAACCCTGTCTAACCTGTTCAATGATTGTCTATCCTGTCTCTCATGAGACCACAGACAAGATGCTGCCCTCAAGAGTGGTCACCCACCTTTTTCCTCTCTCACTGGGGAGGGCAGGGCATCGCTTTTAAATAGGAGCTCCACAGATGGTACAGAAATTGGACAAGGGGAGTGATTTTGCCAGCTGTCTTGGACAGGAGATATGTGTACTCCCAGACCCAGGGCAGGGAGGAGTATGACTAGGTAGGAAATGAGAGGAGACCAAGATCTTACACAAGGGCCCCCTATAGTCAGAGGAAGTTCTGCCCCAAAGGGTGAATCTCTCAGTCTGGCCTGGTGCCTACTGTAGGGGAAGGGGCCCCGAAGGGGATGGAGAGAGCACACTCCTATCCTGATAGACTGCATCCTTCCCAAGACTCACAAGACCCTAGTGCTTGTCCATTCCACCCCTGCTCCAGCCAGGCTAGACCTGCCCCCATTGCAGTCTTCAGCTTTGTAAGCCCTGGGCTCTGAACCCAAGAGTCTGTGAGAAGTCCTCCCAGCTATGCCAACCCACATGGATAAGGCAGAAAAAGACAACCTAATCAGCCAGTCTGTGCCTGAGGGTCCTCAGTTTATTGCGAGTAAGCCTCTCAGAGGTTACAAGTGGTATAGGGCAGAGCTAAGTCTCGGTAGCCCCAAAGGGCTGCTTCTCTCCAGCCCCCGAAACCTGACCTCAGGGCCATTCTGGTAGCTGGTCCCCAACAGAGGGCCCACTGGCAGCATGCATGTGCTTGGTGTGCAGTGTCAGGGCAACTCACTAAGAAGCCAAAGTCTTAGAACTTTGCCAACCCCAGCCTAAGAAAGGATGGCCAACCTCACAGTGCTCACCTAATCAGTGCTTGTGACACCCCAAGGCGAATTATGGGGAGAAAGGCCATGATGCAAGCCTCTCCTACTATAGGAAGGACAAGCACAGCTGGAAGGGGCAGGGCCAACCAGTCCAACGCAGGGGGCACCTTGGGTTGGAGCCTCCTTCACAGCCATGCAGACTGACCTTGGACCTGTTACTAAACAATCTCCAGCCATCACAGGACATTTGCTCCTAGGGAAGGTAAGTATTTTTTTTTTTTTTTTTGGAGACAGAACTTCAAGCTATCCCCCTGGGTAGAGTGCTGTGGCATCACAGCTCACAGCAACCTCCAACTCCTGGGCTCAAGTGAGTCTCCCGCCTCAGCCTCCCAAGTAGCTGGGACCATAGGCGCCCACCACAATGCCTGGCCTTTTTTGGTTGCAGCCGTCATTGTTGTTTTGGCAGGTCTGGGCTGGATTCGAACCTGCCACCTTAGGTGTATGTGGCTGGCACCCTAGCCACTTGAGCCACAGGCGCCGAACGGAGGGTAAGTACTATTAAGGAGTAATTATTCCTTCCTCAGGGCAGGCAGGACCAGTGTCCCCAGAACATCAGGGCTGATGGCCACTATACCCAGGGACAAAGTTGTCAGGAAGAAGAAAGCATTACAAATGACATCTGCAAAGAGCAGACGTGAATATTTCCTAAAAGCAGGTGAAGAGACGGCTCGGCGCCTATAGCTCAACCGGCTAAGGCGCCAGCCACGTACACCTAAGGTGGTGGGTTCGAATCCCCAGCCCGGACCCGCCAAACAACGACGGCTGCAACCAAAAAAATAGCCGGGCGTTGTGGCGGGCGCCTGTGGTCCCAGCTACTTGGGAGGCGGAGGCAGGAGACTCGCTTGAGCCCAGGAGTTGGAGGTTGCTGTGAGCTGTAATGCTACAGCACTCTGCCCAGGGGACAGCTTGAGGCTCTTTCTTAAAAAAAAAAAAAAAAAAGCAGGTGAAGAGGCTGAATTGCCCGAAGTAATTAGGATTTGTTTCAAAATCTCTAGTGAGAGAAGAGAGTATGAGGGTAAAGCAGCTCTAACCACAGAAGTCCCACCCCAGGCCTGTGCAGGAACTGCCAGCACACAGAAGAGCCCCCTTTTCTGAAGGCCGGGATCTTGTACTGGCTGTTGCCTGATCAGGAAGAAGTCTCAACAGCAGTATGCCCATTTTAAAGATGAGGCACCAAGGCCACCAGCATTGCCCAGCTGCTCAAGGTATGAGGTTGGAACTGGGTCAGCCTCAGCCCCTCCTTCTCATTTTCCAAATGCCCCAGTTTGAACCTTAGGTCTGCACAGCTGAGCAACACCAGCAAGGCTGAATGGGGTATCAGGTGGTAGAGATGTAGCCCATGTCCTCCACAGCTGGGGGCCAAGAAGGGCAAGTTCTGGCCACACTGGAGACCCTACCAAGTATGGCTTGGACCTCTCCATGCACCTCAGCCAGGTCAGCCCAGCCCCAGAATGCTGACAGTGGGACTTCAGGATGGATGCAAATACTCTTTTATTTTAGTAAATGCCACCATCCAACTGGTCTGAGAGCTATAGGCAGAAAACATGTTCTAAAACAATTCCAAAAGGCTGAATGATGCTGTGTCAGGAACCAGAATTCTTTTTTTTTTAAGAGACAGAGTCTCATTTTGTCGCCCTGGGTAGAGTGACATGGCATCACATCTCATAGCAACCTCCAACTCTTAGTCTTAGGCAATTCTCTTGCCTCAGCCTCCCGAGTGGTTGGGACTACAGGAGCCTGCCACAACGCCTGGCTATTTTTTGGTTGCAGCCATCACTGTTGTTTGGCAGACCCAGGTTGGATTCAAACCCACCAGCTCAGGTGTATGTGGCTGGCGCCTTAGCCGCTTGAGCCACGGGCGCCGAGCCAGGAACCAGAATTCTTAAAGCAGACTCGGGAGACCAACAGAAGGCACCCAGCACAAGTCTGGCACACCAGGCCACTAAGTGTCTCTTGATAATTAAAAAGAAATTAAGTAGCAAGACAAATCTCACAGCCAAAACCCTGAGGTCTCAGTGCTTGCTAAAGCTACTATACTATAAAATGCTATCTACACCATACCGTCACTAGTATACTAGTAGTGATAATATTAGTAATACTGTTTCAGACATGAAGCAAATAAGGCTTAGCAGTAAGTGGGTTAAAGGTACTTAGCAGAAGTGACACGACTGAGGTTCTGAGTGAATTTAAAGCATTTTCCTACCTCCTCAACGAACTAGGGCAACTGTCTCAAAATTTATTTATTTATAAATAAAATCAAAACTGAAAGGAACTAGACCAAAATCAGTAGTAGTCATCTCTAAAGAGTGATTAGGAAACATTTACTTACTGTAGTAAACATGTCTGTATTGTTTCGAGACTTTCTTTTAGCCGTGACTATGAATCAATCTTGTATTTAAATAAAACAAACATTAAAAAAAAAAACCTCAGTAAAATAGCAACCCCATCTGCCGAGGGTAAGAACAGAGAGGACAAGCGCAAGCCAAGGTACATGGTAAAAGTGGAGGTAGGGGGAATGTGGTATCCAGGTAGAGAAGAAGGAGGGTCCCCAGAGTGACATGGCAAAGGAAAGAGGCCAGCTCCTTGAATAGGTAGAACCAAGGACACAAAACAAACACAGAACCTTCAGCAGATTATAGTGGATGATGCTGACCCTTCCACGGTATTACTGAAAATGTTCATGGCCAGCCAGGAATGGTGGCTCTCACCTACAATCCTAGCACTCTGGAAGGTCAAGGCAGATGGACTATCTGAGCTCAGGAATTTAAGACCAACCTGAGCAAGAGCTAGACCCCATCTCTACTAAAAACAGAACAAAACTAGCCAGGTGTTGTGATGGGTGCCTACAGTTCTAGCTACTCAGGAGGCTGAGACAAGAGGATCACTTGAGCCTAAGAGTTTGAGGTTGCTTTGAGTTATGAAGCCATGGTACTCTATCCAGGGTGACAGAGGAAGACTCTGTCTCAAAAAAAAAAAAAAAGAAGAAGAAGAAGAAAAAGAAAAATAGAGAGAAAGAAAAAATAGAAAATGTTCATGGCAGCTTAAAAATCTACTTTCTGTGACATACACTCGAGATCCTCAAACTCTAAGCAGTAAACCCAAACTTCTCAGCTTACCTCAACAACCTGCCTTCTGCCTATAACACCAGGCTCCCCACGTGGCCACTACAGTGACTGCCAAGTCACAGCATCCCTCACAGGACTATAATAGCAAGAGCCCCCACACCACTCAGCAATTTTATCTCTCTTCATGGCTCAATGCTAAACACTTCAAAGGCAAAAACTTCTCCTTCCCATTTATCTTCATTTTCAGTGAGGAACAAACAATATGGGTTTGGCATGTGTCACTTAACTAACTAAGCCTATGTTTTCATGAATCAGACTCACAACTGTGTAATTCCTGGGGTTGCCCTACATGGCAAAGGCAAAGAAACAAGTAGTGCTTTCATTAACAAACTTCGTGCACTCTGACTGCCTTTACTTTCTGGAAGGTATGGAGACTAAGACAGCACCCACTCATGCTCAGGCCAAGGTGGAAACAGGAATTAAGAGAAATATTCCAGTTAGGGGAATAGCATGGACCACACCATTGAGCATGGAGGGTCTCAGGCCAAGGGAAGGGAGGCAGTGTTGAGTCCTGCTAAAGGCTTTCTCAAAAGAACAAAAGTTTCACTACCCACTGACTAAAGCTGGCCTGAAAAATAAAGACATGCCCAGGCATTATTTTCTCACATACCTTATCAGGATGGGCTCCAGGCCCTGCTACTCGGTAAGGAGCTCCCTGGGCCTTCAAAGACCCCAGACTGAGTGTCCTTCTCTTTGCAGTACTCCTAGAATGAGAGCAGTGGTTGAAAGGTATACACTGGCTAGGGCCAAGTGCCTCTCACATACCGAGTGACAGCTGCCACTCTAGGAGAGCCTCTGAGAGTTGAAGACAGGCATGTGAGATACCACAAGGTGGAGAAAATCCAAGTCTGGCCGGCTACCATCTGGGATAGGACTGGAACCTTCACCCACCACTTCTCTGTCTACCTTGCCATTCTGAGGAGCTGCAGAATCTTCCACTGTATGGCCAAAAAAGGCCTTTGGTTAAGCACATTTAAATTGTTTTTCTTTTACCTAGAGGGACAAGCACATAGTGGGATTCAAGTGACCATACATACATGGTGAGAAGGATGAGGAGAAAGCAGTAGCCATCCTCAGAAGCCTCCAGAGCATTAGTGAATAAAGACTCACCCTGCCCAGGGCTCTGGAAGAACTTGCAGCCAGAAGGCATGAGCCCTTACCCCACTCTCCCCAACCAGAGAGTACTTAAAATGTCACCGTGCTCACCAGGTAACAGGTTAAGCTATGTGACAGCAAGGGCAATCCATAAATGTCCCTGGGCTATCCTCAGCCCTGAATAATTCCAGCCACACGGTAGATGCACCATAAACATCAGATGCACAAGCAGATGTAGGTTTTACAGAGAGAAGCTCTGTGAGTTGGCAGACTAGAACAGACATTGCAGGCTTCTTTTCCACACTGGACTCCTCATATCAGACCCAAGTTTATTGCTGCTTTGCTGTTACCAGAAATGTGGGTCTCTTACTTTTATGGGCATAATACCTAACCATTTAGGTATTATGGTTAGGTATGACTGACCATTTACCCTAAATGGATCATCTTGTAGGTGAATACTAGCGCCAGCCTCTGTTTATAGTGGGAAAACCGAGGCACAAAAGGGCAAAGTCACATGTCAAGCAGATGGAACGATGAGTTTAAAGCTGTTCTCCTCCAGGTAGTACCCTTTAAAACACCTTGCCAAGCACCCAGAATCAGGCCTGAAGGTTCCAAGGGACACTGGAAGCATCACACCAATGGCAATTTGGGCTTGATCTTAAGTTTTCACCCCACAGAATCTGGATGAGACTCAACTTTATTCAGTGTCATGAGCAAACCCTTTTGGTGTTTGCTTTCAAAGTACATTAAGTTCTGGGCTCAGTGCCTGTGGCTCAAGTGCCTAAGGCGCCAGCCACATACACCTACGGTGGTGGGTTCGAATCCAGCTGGGCCTGCCAAAACAAC